GAGCTGGTACCATTCCTTCTAAAACTATTTCAAACAATCCAAAAAGAGGGAATCCTTCCCAAATCATTTTATGAGACCAACATCATCCTGATACCAAAACCCGGCAGAGACCCAACGAGAAAAGAAAACTTCAGGCCAATATCCATGATGAACATAGATGCAAAAATCTTCAATAAAATATTGGCAAGCTGATTGCAACAGCAAATCAAAAAACTTATTCATCATGATCAAGTAGGATTCATCCCAGGGATGCAAGGCTGGTTCAACATACGCAAGTCTATCAACGTAATTCACCACATAAACAGAACCAAAAACAAAAACCACATGATTATCTCAATTGACGCAGAGAAGGCATTTGACAAAATTCAACAGCCCTTTATGCTAAAAACCCTCAATAAACTCGGTATCGATGGAACGTATCTCAAAGTAATAAAAGCTATTTATGACAAACCAACAGCCAATATCATACTGAATGGGCAAAAACTGGAAGCATTCCCTTTGAAATCTGGTACTAGACAAGGATGCCCTCTCTCACCACTCCTATTCAATATAGTACTGGAAGTTCTAGCCAGAGCAATCAGGCAAGAAAAAGAAATAAAGGGTATTCAAATAGGAAAGGTGGAAGCCAAATTGTCTCTATTTGCAGACGACATGATAGTATACCTAGAAGACCCCATCACCTCAGCCCAAAAACTCCTGAAACTGATAAACAACTTCAGCAAAGTCTCAGGATATAAAATCAATGTGCAAAAATCACAAGCATTCGTCTACACCAATAACAGACTTAAAGAAAGCCAAATCAAGAGCGAACTGCCATTCGCAATTGCTACAAAAAGAATAAAATACCTTGGAATACAACTCACAAGGAACGTAAGGGACCTCTTCAAGGAGAACTACAAACCACTGCTCAACGAAATCAGAGAGGACACAAACAGATGGAGAAACATTCCATGTTCATGGTTAGGAAGAATTAATATCGTGAAAATGGCTATACTGCCCAAAGTAATTTACAGAATCAACGCTATCCCCATCAAGCTACCATTGACTTTCTTCACAGAACTGGAAAAAACCACCATGAACTTCATATGGAACCAAAAGAGAGCCCGCATAGCCAAGTCAATTCTAAGCAAAAAGAACACAGCGGGGGGCATCACACTACCGGATTTCAAACTATACTACAAGGCTACAGTAATCAAAACAGCATGGTACTGGTACCAAAACAGAGATATAGACCAATGGAACAAAACAGAGGCACCGGAGGCAACACAACATACATACAACTATTCAATCTTTGATAAACCTGACAAAAACAAGCAATGGGGCAAGGATTCCATGTTTAACAAATGGTGTTGGGAAAACTGGCTAGCCATGTGCAGAAAGCAGAAACTGGACCCCTTCCTGACACCTTACACTAAAATTAACTCCAGATGGATTAAAGACTTAAACATAAGACCTGGCACCATAAAAACCCTAGAAGGAAATCTAGGCAAAACTATCCAGGACATAGGAGTAGGCAAGGACTTCATGAACAAAACACCAAGAGCATTGGCAACAAAAGCCAAAATAGACAAATGGGACCTAATCAAACTCCACAGCTTCTGCACGGCAAAAGAAACAGTCACTAGAGTGGATCGGCAACCAACAGAATGGGAAAAAATTTTCGCAGTCTACCCATCTGACAAAGGGCTGATATCCAGAATTTACAAACAACTCAAGCAGATTTACAGGAAAAAAACAAACAAGCCCATTCAAAAGTGGGCAAAGGATATGAACAGATACTTTACGAAAGAAGACATATATGAGGCCAACAATCATATGAAAAAATGCTCATCGTCACTGGTCATCAGAGAGATGCAAATCAAAACCACATTGAGATACCATCTCACGCCAGTTAGAATGGCGATCATCAAAAAATCTGGAGACAACAGATGCTGGAGAGGATGTGGAGAAAAAGGAACACTTTTACACTGTTGGTGGGAATGTAAATTAGTTCAACCAGTGTGGAAGACAGTGTGGCGATTCCTCAAGGCCTTAGAAATAGAAATTCCATTTGACCCAGCAATCCCATTACTGGGTATATATCCAAAAGACTATAAATCGTTCTACTATAAGGACACATGTACACGAATGTTCATTGCAGCACTGTTTACAATAGCAAAGACCTGGAATCAACCCAAATGCCCATTGATAATAGACTGGATTGGAAAAATGTGGCAGATATACACCATGGAATATTATGCAGCAATCAGAAATGATGAGTTCGTGTCGTTTGTAGGGACATGGATGAATCTGGAAAACATCATCCTCAGCAAACTGACACAAGAACAGAAAATGAAACACCGCATATTCTCACTCATAGGTGGGTGATGAAAAATGAGAACACATGGACACAGAAAGGGGAGTACTAAACACTGGGGACTATTGAGGGGAAAAGGGGAGGGCCAGTGGGAGGGGGAGGTGGGGAGGGATAGCCTGGGGAGAAATGCCAAATGTGGGTGAAGGGGAGAAGAAAAGCAAAGCACACTGCCATGTGTGTACCTACGCAACTGTCTTGCATGCTCTGCTCATGTACCCCAAAACCTATAATCCAATAAAAAATTAAAAAAAAAAAAAAAAAAAAAAGAAGAAATAATAAAGATCAGAAAAAAGTTGAGACTGAAATATAATATCAATGAAACAAAAAGTTGGTGTTTAAAAAAGTTAAACAAATCAACAAACCTTTTGCTAGATTAAGAAAAAAGAGAGAAGACTTACATAAATAAAATCAGGGGTGAAAAGGAGACACTGATATCATAGAAACTCAAAGGATCATTAGAGACCATTATGGGCAACTATATGCCAATACATTTGAAAACCCTTAGAAGAAATGAATAAAGTCCTAGACACATACCAGTTTACCAAGTTTGAACCATAAAGAAATTCAAAACCTGAATAGACCATTAAAAAGTAACAAGATAGAAGCAGTAATAAAAAGCTTCCCATCCAAGAAAAGCCTAGGACCTGATAGCTTCATTGCTGAATTCTACAAAACATTTAAAAAGGAACTAATATCAATCCTACTCAAATTATTCCAAAAAATTAAAGAGAAATACTTCCAGACTAATTATAAGAGGCCAGTCTTACCGTAATACCAAAACCAAAGACACAACAAACAAAAGATAAACATAGATGCAAAGATTCTCAACAAAGTACAAGCAAATCAAATTCAAGAACACATTGAAAATCGTTCATTATGATTAAGTGGGAGTCATCCCAGGGTAGCAAGGATGGTTCAACATACACAAATCAATAAAAGTGATACATCATATCAACAGAATGAAAGACAAAAATCATATGATCATTTCAATTGATGCTAAAAAAGCATTCTGTAGAATTCAACATTCCTTCGTGATAAAAATTCTAAAAAAAAAAACAACTAGGTATAGAAAGAATATACCTCAATATGATAAAAGCTGTATATGGCAACCCCACAGCCAGTATCATACTAAACGGGGGAAAACTGAAAATCTTTCCTCTAAAATGTGGAACAAGACAAGGATGACCATTTTCACCACTTTTATGAAACGTAGTACTGGAAGTCCTAGCCAAAGCATTTACACAAGAGAAAGAAATAAAGAGCATCGAAATTGGAAAGGAAGAAGTCAAATTATTCCTGTTTGCAGACAATATGACCTTATGTTTACAAAAACCCAAAGAGTCCACCAGAAACACTATTAGAACTGATAAACAAATTTGGCAAAGTTACAGGATACAAAATCAACATACAAAAATAAATAGCAATTCTAAATGTCAAGAGCAAACAATCTGAAAAAAAAAAAAAAACCCAAGAAAGTAATCCCATTTATAATAGCTACAAATAAAATAAGATACTCAGTAATTAACCTGAGAAGTGAAAGATGTCTACAATGAAAACTATAAAACATTGATGAAAGAAATTGAAGAGAACACAAAAAATGGAAAGATATTCCATGCTCATGGATTGGAAGCATCAATATTGTTAAAATGTCCATATTACCCAAGGTAATCTACAGATTTAATGCAATCCATAAAAAATTCCAATGTCATTCTGCACAGAAATAGAAAGAATAATCCTAAAATTTATATGAAATCACAAAAGATCCAAAATAGCCAAAGCCATCCTGAGCGAAAAGAACGAAACTGGAGGCATCACATTACCTGACTTCAAATTATATTACAAAGCTAAAGTAACCAAAACGTCATGGGACTGGCATGAAAACACACCTCAACCAATGGAATAGAATAGAGAACCCAGAAATACACCCACTTTCAATTTTAGCAAAGGTGCCAAGAACATACATGGGGGAAAGACAGTCTCTTCAATAAATGGTGCTTGGAAAATGAGATATCTATATGTAGAAGAATGAAACCAGACCACTATCCTTCACCACAAACAAAAGGAAAATCAAAATGGATTAAAGACAAATCTAAGACTTGAAACTATGAAACTAGTAGAAGAAAACATTGGGGAAACACTCCAGACAGTGGTCTGGGCAAAGATTTTCTGAGTAAGACCTCAAAAACACAGCAACCAAAGCAAAAAAACAAACACATAGACCTTTGGAACAGAATAGAGAACTCAGAAATAAATGGGAAAAATGGGATCATATCAAGCTAAAAACGTTTCTGCAAAGCAAAAGAAACTATCAACAAAGTGAAGAGACAACCCACAGAACAAAGTAAAACACATGTCTAAGAATAGCCCCACATAATCCCTGAAAGCACGATCAGTGCAGCAATCCAGTAATCCATAGCAGAAAAGAGCAGAAAGCAGAATGCACTCAGCCCTTGGTGATACTGAGCAATTCAAATTCTGATTAGAGTTGGTGATCAATCTGGCTACACACCGGTATGATTGCTGCATTGATCGTGCTTTCAGGGATTACGTGGGGATAGTCTTAGACATGTTTTTTACTTAAGACTTGTTAGCTGAGACTGAGCCACAAATATTTCGGGGACTTACCTAGGGAAAAAGAACTTACCGCATTCATTCCTTGCCCAAAAAATGGCACCATGGCGTGAGCTGCATCCCCCAGCAGTACACAGTGAGATTTTAAGTGAAACGAAGAGCACTTCACAGATATCATGGGCTGGGCAGGCAACAGGAAGAAATCCTGCACTAGGAGTCTCCTTCAAAGAAAATAATTCAACTGTAAGGACATCAAATTAGGTATTAAACACTGCTAAACTTTTTTGGATTTACAAAATTTATTATCACCAAGTTTTGTTGAAAAATATACAAGAATGTCAGGAAGAAAACAGAAAAGGGAAAAACTGAAGTTTCTCCAGTCCTAAAATACCATTGTTCTAATTATCTTCTTGTTCGGTAACAATGTTAATCACATTCAAAAATAATAAGTTTGGCTGCATTTGAATAATTTAAATATTTCTGTATCATATGTTACTAAAACTTTATTATCATGCACTTGGACCATGAGATTTTTAAATACAGTGGTATATTTTAGGTTTCCATTTAAAAATTGAGCAAATACTTATTTGAATTTAATTAGAAGACAATAAATGAAAATTAAAATTAATGTAAATCTTTATGTATTTGGAAATGGATAATAGTAATAAAACTAGAATTTGGGGGATTGGAATAATTTGGTCAAATGGTACAGAGGAAGAATAAGTAAGTTCAAGAGATTTAGTTTACAACATGGTGCTTATAATAAAAAACAAACAAAAAACCTAACATTTGTAGAGCATCTGTAGAGGTGTTGAGGAAGTTCTAAGTAGGCAAACAAGACATAGCCTCTAGAATCTTAAATCTGGCTGGAGAGGCAAAAAACAGCCATGAAACCAGTTAGAAAGTACATAAGGGCTAATGTTAGTGTGCAGAGATTTCACTGTTGGAGAAGGAGGGTTCCATACAGACTAACTTCAGTCTTCAAGAAAGAAAGTGACGAGCAATTTTTAAAAGACCTGCTATGGGCCAGCAGTGGGTTGTCCCTTTTAAGTAATTAGCTCATTTAATTTTCACAAATGCCCTAGGGTAGATATTATGATATCCATTTTAAAGGTGAAACTCAGGGAGGTTAGGGGCAGAAGCAGTATTAAAATATTGCTCAGGGAGGTCAGGGGCAGAAGCAGTATTAAAATATTGCTCTTGGCCGGGCGCGGTGGCTCACGCCTGTAATCCCAGCACTTTGGGAGGCCGAGGCGGGTGGATCATGAGGTCAAGAGATAGAGACCATCCTGGTCGACATGGTGAAACCCCGTCTCTACTAAAAATACAAAAAATTAGCTGGGCATGGTGGCGCGTGCCTGTAATCCCAGCTACTCAGGAGGCTGAGGCAGGAGAATTGCCTGAATCCAGGAGGCGGAGGTTGCGGTGAGCCGAGATCGTGCCATTGCACTCCAGCCTGGGTAACAAGAGTGAAACTCCGTCTCAAAAAAAAAATAATAATAATAAAAATAAAATAAAATATTGCTCTGCTATTAGACTGAGTATTTATGTTCCCCTAACATTCCTGTGTTGGATTCCTAATTTCCAGTGTGATGGTATTTGGAGATGGGGACTTTGGGTGGTGATTAGGTCTTGGGAGTGAACCCCCCATTAATGGCATTAGTGCTTTTATAAAAAGGACTCCAGAGAGAGCCCATGCCCCTTCTAGCATGGGACTAGACAGCAAAAAGACTGTCATCTATGAACCAAGAGGTGGGGTGTCAGCAGACACCAAATCTGCTAGCGCCTTGATCTTATGCTTGTCAGCCTTCAGAACTGTGAGCAATATATTTCTGTCATTTGTAAGCCACCGAGTCCATGGTAGGTTCATTACAGACAACTGAAGTGACTAAGGCATACTCTTGGTGCCATTGGGCTGCCTTCATGAAAACATCATTGGAGGCATCTAGATAGACAAATTAATATGTGCCAAGCCTTGTGCGGAATGATTTTCAGACATGATATCATTTAGTCCTCAAAACAACCCTTTGGGATAGGTTCTATCATTTATCAACCTTTTACCACGAGTGGGACATGGGAAAGCTTACGTGGCGACTAAGTATAGGATCTGAGACTTGACGCTGCTGGATGTATCGGCTGTGCCAAAGATTTGTGTATCTACCAGTAGAAAAAATTTCAGCCGGTTTCTGTGGCACACCAAGCCCTAGGGAGCCTGAGGAGGCTGTGTAATATTCTCATAGGCGGGTGATGAACAATGAGAACACATGGACACAGGGAAGGGAGCACTACACACTGGGATCTATTGGGGGGAATGGGGAGGGACAGTGGGGAGGGGGAGCTGGGGAGGGATAGCATGGGGAGAAATGCCAAATGTGGGTGAAGGGGAGGAAGGCAGCAAAACCACTGCCACGTGTGTACCTATGCAACTATCTTGCATGTTCTGCACATGTACCCCAAAACCTAAAATGCAATTAACAAAAAAGATACACAAAAGCCTTGGGACATTGGTGACTCATCTTTCCCAGAGAAACTGGCCACAGCACGGGTGTTTTTCAGAATTCCTGCTCACAGCACATCCACTTAGACTTTTGCTCTAATGTAGGTTTCTGTCCAGGTGACTGCATGATCCATCATGTTTAACCAAAACTGAAATCAGGTGCGTAACCTTTACTTGAATTTGGAATAATTCAAACAAACGGAGCATAAGGCACAACCTGCAACTTACTCTCCAATTAGAGGGATGGCATCCGGAAAGTATTTCTGGAAGAAATCCAGCACATCACTACTGGTTAGAAGTTCTTCAAACTCTTCAAAGGGCATGAACAAAGTACATGTGAACGATTTGTTCTGTGAGAAGATGAGAAACAGAGTGAAAGGGGATAGGGGGCCAAGTGATGCCCGCACTGTTGGTGGGTCCCGAAATCACAAGACTTCTTGCTGTGACCAGGAGCTTTTGGAAGGAATGTCCAGGGAGACAGTAAATGCACTGTCATTTGTTCCCTTGCTCTCAAAGAAAAGTTCTGCCAAGTCCCAGGGGTGCTCCCCAGCTTCTCTGATTATTCAGACAACTTCGATACTGTAAACTCTTCATTTTCACACAGCAAATACTACACTTTTTTTTTTTTTGAGGCAGAGTCTTCTCGCTCTGTTGCCCAGGCTGGAGTGTAGTGGCATGATCTTGGCTCACTACAATCTCCGCCTCCCAGGCTCAAGCGTTTCTCCTGCCTCAGCCTCCTGAGTAGCTGGGATTACAGGCACACACCACTAGGCCTGGCTAATTTTTTGTATTTTTAGTAGAGGTGGAGTTTCTCCATGTTGGCCAGGTTGGTCTTGAACTCCTGACCTCAGGCGATCCACTCACCTTGGCCTCCCAAAGTGCTGGGATTATAGGCATGAGCCAGCACGCCCAGCCTACACTCTTTAAATTACTAATAGGTTAGTTAGATTTGACACCTCCTCTTCTTCCTTTTAAGATGGTATTAATAAGCCCTGGACCCCTGGACAGATATCAACAGAAAGAAAAAGATCCCAACCAGAGAAACAGCTATGTCTATCTAGGAAAAAAGCCTCTAGGGTCTAATGAGAGAAAACCCATGATCTCTCTTTCTCTCTTTTTTTTTTTTTGAGATAGGGTCTTGCTTTGTTGTCCAGGCTGGAGTGCAATGGGATGATCATGGCTTACTGCAGGCTCCATCTTCAGGGTTCAAGCAATCCTCCCATGTCAGCCTCCTGAGTAGTTGGGACTACAGGCATGTGCCACCACACCTGGCAAAAGTTTTTTTTTCAGTAGATGCAAGGTGTTCCTACGTTGGCCACACCAGTCTTGAACTCCTGAGTTCAAGCAATCCTCCCACCTTGGCCTCCCAAAGTGCTAGGATTATAGGTGTGAGCCACTGTGCCCAGCCCCGTGCTCTCTTTTGATAATGCATATTCCAATGTCCTGCAGACCTTATAGGCTGAATCACTTCCTAATAGATAATCTAAATCTCTTTGGCTTTAATGGAGGGGGGGGCATGCATTTCCTTCTACACTGTCTTTAGTGAAGATGACAGGCACCACCACACATAAACTCTTGTTATTCATCCATGGAAGTTAAATCTCTTTTCCAAAGTAAATAATGGGAATTCCTTCAGATTTTTTTCTCAGTAATCCCAACGTTTCAAAGCTGTAATCACTAAATAGATTAAACAATGAAGAGATCAATTAGGTATATACATTCTAAGTACAAAAGTGAATAACAACATTAATTGCAGATGCAAAATTATAGTTGATAGAAAATTCTATACTACCATGTTAGGAAGTGCAATCATCATAAAGGTATTTCGAGGCCAAATATGCAGATAATTAGGTTCCATGGCATACTGCAGAAAAAAGAATATATGATACATTAGTGTATTAATTAATACAGTAAATCTATAAAACTGATTCAGATTTATAATAGTTTCCATGGTAACTTAAACAACAGTAGCATATACACAATGATATGCACATCTATTGCTACATAAAATGCAAGTTGCCTTAGAAAATACTTTGTGTTCTGTCTTTATAAACTCAATCTTAGGTGGGTTTTTGATACCATGTATAATTTACGATTTTAGAATATGTGTATGTATGTGTACATGTATGAAAAAAGGCAGAGAGAATATCTTATGTTCTCAAATCTTGAATTATACCTGGTATAATTATACCCAGTATCTATGTACACATACATGCACATATCTAGATGTGTATATGTGTGTGTGTATGTGCACGCATATATAATGTATGCATACACATTATATATATTTATATAATTTTTTCTACTTTACCTTTTGCCTTTTTTCAGAACTTATCTATACTGGACAGAAGGTCTTACATTTAAATATCATGAGGCAAAACCAAAAGTTTAGAAATAAGCTTTTTATCATTTGTTTCCTATAACATAAATAATAGAGGAGAGTCTTGTCTCTTAGTGACTCCTCTGTAATTACTATTAATACAGTAACAGCCCCGAGGAAGTATTAATTGCGTGAGTAGATCAATTGATCCAAAGGCCCAAGTGACCCAAATTTTTGAAGGTTCCCAGGGGCATTATAGACATAAAAATATGCAACCAATTTTCCAACTATTTCAAATTTGTATTATTTTTTACAAATGTTTTGAGAGCACCTTGCATGTGTATCTTGCATAGTAAGAATACTGAAAAAACAGCCTAGTCTTGGAGCTAACATTTTTACACCGTATCATAGTTACTTGTGTCTTAGGTGAAGAGACTGTGCTTTTCTTGTTTTTTTAGCCTCAGATTCCCAAAGAAAGCCCAACAGACAGACACAGAAATGAGTACATGCATGTCTCTTGACCTTACAGCGCAATTGAATAGGCAAGACGAATACATATGAAAAGCAATTACTTCTCTTCAATAGCAACACTAGCAGCAGAAAGCCATTCACCCAGTCTCGTCCCCCACTGCAACCATCAGAGGAGTGCAACTGTCTATATCGCATGCATGACATTAAGAACAAAAGAAAAAACAAAACACAAAGAAAAATAGAGAAAGTCTCGTAAGATTGTTTTTGGGCCATGTCAAAATGTTCCCATGTCTGAGTAACATTGCTATGTCTAAAAAATGTTCTTAAAAGAGTGGAGACATTTTTTAAAACCATTAATAATTACTATTTATTATGTGTACCTAGAAAAAAAAGGGCTTTCTTAAATCTGCAAGCGCAGTTTTTCTTAAGTCTGGAACAATTTTTCAACAGAATTCTGTTATCCTATAATCCAGAGTTACCAAATTCCGGGCCATGAGAACAGAACCTATCTGAAAGCCAGTACAATAAGCACTGAAAAATTAGCAAATACATTTCTTTTTTTTTTGAGACGGAGTTTCACTGTTGTTACCCAGACTGGAGTGCAATGGCACGATCACCGCAAACTCTGCCTCCTGGGTTTAAGGAGTTCTCCTGCCTCAGCCTCCCAAGTAGCTGGGACTACAAGTGCACACCACCATGCCCAGCTAATTTTTGTATTTTTAGTAGAGAGGGGGTTTCACCTTGTTCACCAAGATGGTCTTGATCTCTTGACCTCGTGATCCACCCGCCTCGGCCTCCCAAAGTGCTGGGATTATAGGCGTGAGCCACTACACCCAGCCAGCAAATAAATTTCAACCATGAGGATGAAATAGAAAGGTAATGAGGTGTTAAAATATGGATTTTACTGGCGGGTACAGTTTGTTGATATTTAACAACACTATCCAATATTGACTGTTCTCCAGTTGTCTGGATTTCAGAGGAGAGATTAAATCAGCATCTTAAAAATGTATGCTTTATATGCAAGTCAAATATTTAATGTTATTTGCACATCCATCCTTATAAGCCAATATCCTTATTGTTTCTGTTAGCATTGTTTTCCTTAACCAGGTCCTATACTTACTTGCTTATGGCAATATAATAAATTACATCCTGCTTATTTGCCTCTGGTCCCATATGGTTTAACAGTGGGAACCAGGAAATGAGAAAACCACAATGGAAATCTTTTTGCAACATTTTTCTAGTCATTTTACTTAATAACTATTATTTAATTTAATCATGGTTATAAGAGCCCTGGATTGTCAGAACACTGAAGGATTCAGCCTCAACCTGTTTTTTTCTCCCAAGAGAACATAGACAAATATTATTCAAATGCCCTTTCCAGTAGGAGGGTTGTAACTACTTCTTTTTTTTTTAATTTTTTATTGCATTTTAGGTTTTGGGGTACATGTGCAGAGTGTGCAAGACATTTGCATAGGTACACACATGACAGTGTGTTTTGCTTCCTTTCTCCCCTTCACCCACATTTGTCATTTATCCCCAGGCTATCCCTCCCCAGCTCCTCCCCGCCGCTTGCCCTCCCCTTTTCCCCTCAATAGACCCCAGTGTTTAGTACTCCCCTCCCTGCATCCATGTGTTCTCATTTTTCATCACCCACCTATGAGTGAGAATATGCGGTATTTCATTTTCTGTTCTTGTGTCAGTTTGCTGAGGATGATGTTCTCCAGATTCATCCATGTCCCTACAAACGACACGAACTCATCATTTCTGATTGCTGCATAATATTCCATGGTGTATATGTGCCACATTTTCCCAATCCAGTCTATCATCAATGGGCATTTGGTTTGGTTCCAGGTCTTTGCTATTGTAAACAGTGCTGCAATGAACATTCGTGTGCATATGTCCTTATAGTAGAACGATTTATAGTCCTTTGGATATATACGCAGTAATGGGATTGCTGGGTCAAATGGAATTTCTATTTCTAAGGCCTTGAGGAATCGCCACACTGTCTTCCACAATGGTTGAACTAATTTACACTCCCACCAACAGTGTAAAAGTGTTCCTTTTTCTCCACATCCTCTACAGCATCTGTTGTCTCCAGATTTTTTAATGATTGCCATTCTAACTGGCGTGAGATGGTATCTCAATGTGGTTTTGATTTGCATCTCTCTGATGACCAGTGACGATGAGCATTTTTTCATATGATTGTTGGCCTCATATACGTCTTCTGTTGTAAAGTGTCTGTTCATATCCTTTGCCCATTTTTGAACGGGCTTGTTTTTTTTTTCTGTAAATCTGTTAGAGCTCTTTGTAAATTCTGGATATCAACCCTTTGTCAGATGGGTAAATTGCAAAAATTTTTTTCCCATTCTGTTGGTTGCTGATTCACTCTAGTGACTGTTTCTTTTGCCGTGCAGGAGCTGTGGAGTTTGATTAGGTCCCATTTGTCTATTTTGGCTTTTGTTGCCAATGCTTTTGGTGTTTTGTTCATGAAGTCCTTGCCTACTCCTATGTCCTGGATGGTTTTGCCTAGATTTCCTTCTAGGGTTTTTATGGTGCCAGGTCTTATGTTTAAGTCTTTAATCCATCTGGAGTTAATTTTGGTGTAAGGTGTCAGGAAGGGGTCCAGTTTCTGCTTTCTGCACATGGCAAGCCAGTTTTCCCAACACCATTTATTAAACAGGGAATCCTTTCCCCATTGCTTGTTTTTGTCAGGTTTATCAAAGATTGTATGGTTGTAGATATGTTGTGTTGCCTCCGATGCCTCTGTTTTGTTCCATTGGTCTATATCTCTGTTTTGGTACCAGTACCATGCTGTTTTGATTACTGTAGCCTTGTAGTATAGTTTGAAGTCCGGTAGTGTGATACCTCCCACTGTGTTCTTTTTGCTTAGAATTGATTTGGCTATGCGGGCTCTCTTTTGGTTCCATATGAAGTTCATGGTGGTTTTTTCCAGTTCTGTGAAGAAAGTCAATGGTAGCTTGATGGGGATAGCGTTGATTCTGTAAATTACTTTGGGCAGTATAGCCATTTTCACGATATTAATTCTTCCTAACCATGAACATGGAATGTGTCTCCATCTGTTTGTGTCCTCTCTTATTTCGTTGAGCAGTGTTTTGTAGTTTTCCCTGAAGAGGTCCCTTACGTTCCTTGTGAGTTGTATTCCAAGGTATTTTATTCTTTTTGTAGCAATTGTGAATGGCAGTTCGTTCTAGATTTGGCTCTCTTTGAGTCTGTTATTGGTGTAGAGGAAGGCTTGTGATTTTTGCACATTGATTTTATATCCTGAGACTTTGCTGAAGTTGCTTATCAGTTTCAGGAGTTTTTGGGCTGAGGCGATGGGGTCTTCTAGGTATACTATCATGTCGTCTGCAAATAGAGACAATTTGGCTTCCACCTTTCCTATTTGAATACCCTTTATTTCTTTTTCTTGCCTGATTGCTCTGGCTAGAACTTCCAGTACTATATTGAATAGGAGTGGTGAAAGAGGGCATCCTTGTCTAGTGCTGGATTTCAAAGGGAATGCTTCCAGTTTTTGCCCATTCAGTATGATATTGGCTGTTGGTTTGTCGTAAATAGCTTTTATTACTTTGAGATACGTTCCATCGATACCAAGTTTCTTGAGGGTTTTTAGCATAAAGGGCTGTTGAATTTTGTCAAATGCCTTCTCTGCGTCAATTGAGATAATCATGTGGTTTTTGTTTTTGGATTTGTTTATGTGGTGAATTACGTTGATAGACTTGCGTATGTTGAACCAGCCTTGCATCCCTGGGATGAATCCTACTTGATCATGATGGATAAGTTTTTTGATTTGCTGTTGCAATCGGCTTGCCAATATTTTATTGAAGATTTTTGCATCTATGTTCATCATGGATATTGGCCTGAAGTTTTCTTTTCTCGTTGGGTCTCTGCCGGGTTTTGGTATCAGGATGATATTGGTCTCATAAAATGATTTGGGAAGGATTCCCTCTTTTTGGATTATTTGGAATAGTTTCAGACGGAATGGTAACAGTTCCTCTTTGTGTGTCTGGTAGAATTCTGCTGTGAACCCATCTGGATCTGGGCTTTTTTTGTGTGGTAGGCTCTTAATTGCTGCCTCAACTTCAGACCTTGTTATTGGTCTATTCATAGTTTCAGCTTCCTCCTGGTTTAGGCTTGGGAGGACACAGGAATCCAGGAATTTATCCATTTCTTCCAGGTTTACTAGTTTATGTGCACAGAGTTGTTTGTAATTTTCTCTGATGATGGTTTAAATTTCTGTGGAATCTGTGGTGATTTCCCCTTTGTCATTTTTTATTGCATCTATTTGGTTGTTCTGTCTTTTCTTTTTTATCAATCTGGCTAGTGGTTTGTCTAGTTTGTTGATCTTTTCAAAAAACCAGCTCTTGGATTTATTGATTTTTTGAAGGGTTTTTCATGTCTCTATCTCCTTCAGTTCTGCTCTGATCTTAGTTATTTCTTGTCTTCTGCTGGGTTTTGAGTTTTTTTTTATCTTGCTCTTCTAGCGCTTTCAATTTTGACGATAGGGTGTCAATTTTGGATCTCTCCATTCTCCTCATATGGGCACTTATTGCTATATATTTTCCTCTAGAGACTGCTTTGAATGTGTCCCAGAGATTATGGCAAATTTTGTCTTCATTCTCATTGGTTTCGAAGAACTTCTTTATTTCTGTCTTCATTTCATTGTTTATCCAGTCAACATTCAAGAGCCAGTTGTTCAGTTTCCACGAAGCTGTGCAGTTCCGAGTTGGTTTCTAAATTCTGAGTTCTAACTTGATTGCACTATGGTCTGAGAGACTGTTTGTTATGATTTCAGTTGTTTTGCATTTGCTGAGAGTGCTTTACTTCCAATTATGTGGTCAATTTTAGAGTAGGTGTGATGTGGCGCTGAGACGAATGTATATTCTGTGGATTTGGGGTGGAGAGTTCTGTAAATGTCTATCAGGTTTGCTTGTTCCAGGTCTGAGTTCAAGCCCTGGATATCCTTGTTGACTTCCTGTCTGGTTGATCTGTCTAATATTGACAGTGGAGTGTTAAAGTCTCCCAGTATTATTGTGTGGGAGTCTAAGTCTCTTTGTAAGACATTAAGAACTTGCCTTATGTATCTGGGTGCTCCTGTATTGGGTCCATATATGTTTAGGATCGTTAGCTCTTCTTGTTGTATTGATCCTTTTACCATTAGGTAATGACCTTCTTTGTCTCTTTTGATCTTTGTTGCTTTAAAGTCTATTTTATCAGAGATGAGAATTGCAACTCCTGCTTTTTTTTGCTCTCCATTTGCTTGGTAAATCTTCCTCCATCACTTTATTTTGAGCCTTTGTGTATCCTTGCATGTGAGACGGGTTTCCTGGATACAACACACTGATGGGTTTTGTTTTTTTATCCAATTTGCCAGTCTGTGTCTTTTGATTGGTGCATTTAGTCCATTTACATTTAGGGTTAATATTGTTATGTGTAAATTTGATACTGCCATTTTGATGCTAGCTGGCTGTTTTGCCTGTTAGTTGATGTAGATTCTTCGTTATGTTGATGCTCTTTAGCATTTAGTGTGATTTTGGAATGGCTGGTACTGGTTGTTCCTTTCTATGTGTAGTGCCTCTTTCAGGAGCTCTTGTAAAGCAGGCCTGGTGGTGACAAAATCTCCGAGTACTTGCTTGTTCGCAAAGGATTTTATTTTTCCTTCACTTACGAAGCTCAGTTTGGCTGGATATGAAAGTCTGGGTTGAAAGTTCTTTTCTTTAAGGATGTTGAATATTGGCCCCCACTCTCTTCTGGTTTGTAGAGTTTCTGCCGAGAGATCTGCTGTGAGTCTGATGGGCTTCCTTTTGTAGGTGACCCGACCATTCTCTCTGGCTGCCCTTAGTATTTTCTTCTTTATTTCAACCCTGTTGAATCTGACGATTATGTGCTTTGGGGTTGCTCTTCTTGCGGAATATCTCTGTGGTGTTCTCTGTATTTCCTGAATTTGAGAGTTGGTGTGCCTTGCTAGGTGGGGGAAATTTTCCTGGATGATTTCCTGAAGAGTATTTTCCAGCTTGGATTCATTCTCTTCATCCCCTTCTGGTACACCTATCAAACGTAGGTTAGGTCTCTTCACATAGTCTCACATTTCTTGGAGACTTTGTTCATTCCTTTTTGTGCTTTTTTTCTCTAATCTTGGTTTTTCATTTTATTTCATTGAGTTGATCTTCGACTTCTGATATTCTTTCTTCTGCTTTGTCAATTCGGCTGTTGAAACTTGTGCATGCTTTGCGAAGTTCTTGTATTGTGTTTTTCAGCTCCTTCAATTCATTCATATTCCTCTCTAAGTTATCCATTCTTGTTATCATTTCCTCGAATCTTTTTTCAAATCTTTTTTCAAGGTTCTTAGTTTCTTTGCATTGATTTAGAACATGTTCTTTTAGCTCACAGAAGTTTCTCATTACCCACCTTCTGAAGTCTAATTCCATCATTTTATTCTCCGTCCAGCTTTGTTCCTTTGCTGGTGAGGAGTTTTGGTCCTTTGTAGGAGGCGAGGTGTTCTGGTTTCGGGTGTTTTCCTCCTTTTTGCGCTGGTTTCTTCCCATCTTTGTGGATTTATCCACCTGTCGTCTGAGTAGTTGCTGACTTTCCGATTGGGTCTCTGAGTGGACGCCCAGATTGTTGATGATGAGGTCTTTCTGTTACTTAGTTTTCCTTCTACCAGTCTAGCCCCTCTGCTGTACGACTGCATAGGTCCACTCCAGGCCCTGCTTGTCTGGGGTACACCTGTAGCAGCTGCAGAATGGTGAGGGATGCTACCAGTTTCTTCTTCTGCTATCTTTGCCCCAGAAGGTGCCCAACTAATGTCAGTCTGATCAGTCCTTTTTGAGGTGACTCTGGATATACAGGGGTCAGGGAGCTGCTTGAGGAGACAATCTGTACTTTATAGGAGCTCAAGTGCTGAGCTGTGAGCTCCATTGTTCATTCAGGGCTGTTAGGCAGGTGCATTTAATTCTGCTGCAGCACAACTCTTAGAACCCCTTTTTTTCCTCAGATGCTCTGTCTTGGGGGGGGGTTGGGGCTTTCTTTATGAGTGTCTGTGGCACTATCCTGCCCAGCTAGGAGGCAGTCTAGTCACTATTTGCCTGTCGAGGCTCTGCCCTGCTGATGTGGTGTGGGCCCTGTTGCTGCGGGCTCTGTCCTGCAGCCACGGGCTCCACGGCAGGCTCCGCCCTGCTGCCACCAACTCCGCCCTGCAGCAGAGTCTCTCTGTTATGGCATGTTGCCTCGGCAATGGCAGGCTGCGTCAGCAATGGAAGTGTACCTCCATAGGGGCTGATATCCTTGGTAATGGCGAACACCCCTCCCCCACCGAGCTGCACAGTCCTGGGTTCAGCTGTGCTCGCAGCGAAAGTCTCCACCCGGAGCGTTTCGAGTTGCTGTTTTGTTTGTCCCCGTGGGGGTGAAACCCGCCGAGCCTGCTCGCCTGGCTCCCTGCCTCAGAGTGCCTTTCTTTTTTTTTTAAGTTGAACGGATGGCTCTCTCCCAGGTGTTTCGGTTGCCCGCTGTTAGGGCACCGGGATCTGTGTGATTTCCCGTGCAGCTAGCCACTGCGCTGGCTCACACCCCACTTCCCAGGAATCTCCTGGTCTGGCTCACTGTCAAAGTCCCGTTTAATCAGATGGATATGCTAATCTGCCCTCCCAAATCTCAGATTGCCAGTTTAGCAGGGCACCCGGGCCCGTGTGTTTAGTGTGGATTATTCGGGAGTGCCTGCGCTGCGGCGCCGGCTGAAGCAGCTGCAACAGCTGAACCGGCTGCGCTTGCGTCCCGTGTCTTTCCTACACCTGGGACTTTCCCCGTTCTGTGGGCAACAAAGATCTGTCTGGAAATGCGGCTTTGACTCACCCTCTGAGCATTTGCTGAGAGCTGCGATCCCGAGTTGTTCTTACTGCGCCATTTTGAAAACCCCCCTCAAATTACTAATATTTTTATCATGTTCACTTTAGAGTTCTCCTGTGGCTGACATGGTATCTAGATGCAAGGCAAACTTCCCCACTCCTTTGGCAGTAAGAGGTAAAGCAACTTGCCTGAAATCACATGGATATTTGATAAAACCGGTTTTTAAGCCAAGGAAGTCTGTCTGTAGAGTCCTTGATTTTGAACACTACCCTTCCTTAAATCGAGGGTTGTAACTTCTTTCCTTCCCTCCCTCCCTCCCTCCCTCCCTCCCTCCCTCCCTCCCTCCCTCCCTCCTTCCCTCCTTTCTTCCTTCCTTCCTTCCCTCCTTCCTTCCTTTTGTAGAGACAGGATTGGGCTATATTGCTTGGGATAGAGTGCAGGGGCATGATCTCGGCTCACTGCAACCTTGACCTCCCGGGCTCAAGCAATCATTCCACCTCAGCCTCCTGAGTAGCTGGGACCACAAGCACATGTCACCATCCTGGCTAATTTTTATATTTTTTACAGAGACAGGCTGATCTTGAACTCTTGGGTTCAAGTGATCTTCCTGCCTTGGCCTCCCAAATTTCTGGGATTACAGGAATGAGCCACTGTTTTTTTTCTTTTCACTAAAAAAAGGTTATCAAAAAAGAGCGGAGTGAGAATTGTATTATTAAAAAGATACCCATGCATCTAATTTATTATTAATTACAAAGTTCTTGTGGCAGGCCTCAAAATGAATCAAGACATGCTGCTGAAAATCACTGCACTAGAATATGCATTTGCACTCATGGTGCGAGGGTTGTGGGAAGGGGTTGAGAAACGGCAAGGACTTACATCCCCGTTCTTAGGTGGAATAGTCAACTCCATGTACCCATGAGGAATGTACTGCTGACTATAATCAAAGCGCGGTTTCTTCATGAGATGAGATCTGACAGTTGAGTAGGCTCCATCACATCCTACAATGAGGTCACAGGTAACATCTATGGGAACTTTGTCAGATCTGAAAAATAGAACAAACCATCCAAAAGAAAACAATGTCTAGTGGTGAAAATGATGATGTACATCTGGGTATGAGAAGTAGTGGCTCCACAGATGACTTAGAAAGTTCACTTTTATATGTGTGACTTGGGCTTTGAGTTAATAGATAGAACATTTAGATGAAAACTCTTGTCTCAGTCATAAGTTTGCTTATGAGAATAACACAAAACCATACTGACTAATGAAGACCTGGTAGGCCACAGAAGTATGGATGACAGGATTTAAGCTTTCTGAATGAAGGAGGAGAATCTTAAAAACAGAGTGTTCCAAGTGTACAAACGAATGTATGAAGAACCACAAGGATGTGACCAGGACTTTCTTTTTTTTTTTTAATTTTTTATTGGATTTTAGGTTTTTGGGTACATGAGCAGAGGTGACCAGGACTTTCTAAGACCAATACATTTGGCTTAAGCAGAGGTATGAGGAGATAAGCTTAAGGAAAGAACAGAAGGTAGGGAGAGAAAGGAAGGAGGAAATGAAAAGAATCTTCAATGTTAAGATAAAAGATTTTAAAACATTATTCTGGCGAAAGGAAAACTGAAATTTTCTATTAGGGAAATGGTGTATGAAGAGTTGTAATTTAAGAAAACTTCCTTGGCAGTTTGAAGCAGAGGCAGAATGCCAAAGGGAGCCAAAAACAGGGATGGGGTAATAGCAACATATTATATTACATGTGCAGGGGTGAGAGCCGGAAGTACTGTCCTGCAGCTGGAAGGAGAAAGACAAGACTCTGAACCAATAGGAAGTAAGAAAGACTGGGGGGTGTTATAGATTTAATGAGAGAGGATGGGGAAAGAACACACCACAAATGATTCTAATTATCTGGGCACTGTTACTGGGGAAGTCAGGAGTGGGATGTGATTTGGGAGAAGTAGCTGATCAAGGTTTTAGATGTGTTTGAGATAATAACCAGATGTTCCAGCAAGGATGTTCAATGGGAAATTGACATAAATTGATTAGAGCTTCTATAAGGATTTAGAACAAAGAGAGAGGCTTGGACTGCAATGTTTATTTTAGAGAGGTGGTTGTTGAACCCAGGACTGTGGATCCATAGAATATCACAAGAGTGGGATATGAGGCTTCGAACTTGAGAGAAAATAGAATCATCCGAGGAAAGGCAGAGAAATAGCACCTGAAAAGAGAACAGGAGGAGAGCATTGGAAGGTCACCTCGTTTTGAAAGAGGAGAGAGTTTGAAGCATGTTAGAGTCACCAGTGTGGAACAGAGTACAGCAGGAAGGTAAGTTAGTGTGAGAATCAGGAATTATTGGCATTGGTGTTCAGAAGGCATCAGGGCCCTATTTTCAATATAAAATTCTTTGAATCTAGAAACTATTTGGATTACCCTTTCAATAATCTTTTAACTCTTTCAAAAGAGCCAAAGAACAAAGTTTACGTATACAATTCTCCACTCCCAGCTTTCGCCTCTGATGTCTAAAACCTGACCCATAGTTACCCAAGCACTGTGATCACTCCTTCCTCTGGATAACATTTCAACAGCCTGTGGTTAAAGTGCACTTTCACGTTGGGATATTTCTCAACAGCTGAGGAAACGAAGAAAGAGGCAAACAGAAATGAAATTTCAATTCTTATTTCACTTGATCAAATTGAAATATTAATTGTTTTCTGGGAACAGTATGGTAGGAATTTTATTCATAACAATGTAAAATTAAATTCACTTAAATGATAATTTGACAACTGTTTGGCAACTATTTCAGTATAATTTGGTAGTAAAACAGATGAATAAAAATCAATTACCCTCATCTCAAAAAGAAAATATCCAACTAATTCCGTTGTGCAAACTCTTGCATTGCTGTGATTATTAGCACCCTGGGAAAGAAGCAAGCATCACATATTTCAAAAGTTGTCTGTAATCTGAGGCTTTACTGTGATTGGAAATATTCAGTCAAACCCCTTTCCACATGTATGCATGTCTCTATGTCTCCTTCTTAGCTAGTTTTCTGAACTTCTGATTGAAGTTGTCACAAATAGAGGTTATTGATTTTAAATCTCTTTGAAATCAATCACTGGAATAGTTAGGGGGAAAATGAGTAAGAAGCTTTGAAACTTCTCAATAAACTAAACCCAATAATTTTAGTAATTTTCTGTTTTGCCTGCTAGCGCTCTAGAGAATTGAGTGGATTTCATTTTATGAACTATTAATCATGTTCTTGTTACAACAGTAAAATATGATCTTGTCCCTAGTAATGCTCATGTATTCATCAATAAACACAGCCTATTTACTGTTCTTAAAGGTACAAATTAGAAATCAGGTGTCCCACTGAGCTGGGAGAGACCTCAGAGATGATTTAGTTCTTCATCTTAAAAAGGGAGTGACCAAGATTCTGCAAGCAAAGGTAAAATGCCTGAGATCACACAAAGTGAAAACATTAAGAACCAAACTCATCAAGCGGCATACATTAATTACATACAGTTTTTGTACATCAAAAAAGTAAATAAAAAGAACGTTGAATTAGAAAAAATGAGGAAAATAAGCCAGGAGTTCTGCCGTCCAACTCAGTATTTCTATCTGTACTTATCTCCCCTCTTCATCTCAATCTTATTTTATTCTGTTTTGTTTCAGTTAGATTTGAGGTTTGAAGATTTTAGCTTTCTTGCAAAACCTGAGAGACCCTAAACCAAAGAAGTTCATCTGTGTATAAGAAATAGTTTAACAAATAACTTTGGAGTAATCAGAGTTGACCTGATATACAAAGGATATATTTTAGAAACATAACATATGTTTGTGAAAAGAACCTTAAAAAGTTTATTCTTATTTTTTATGTAAGTGTATAGTATTACATCCTAAATCATTTTTTTATAGAACTTTAGTCCCGGGATATACTCCCTTAAAAAACTGTTCTTTTGTCAAAGACAGCAGAGTAATGGTGAATACTCCGTCTTGGTCTGCGCTGTCCTGGTGTGTAGCTGTATGTGGCATTTGAGTGCTTGGAGTGTGGCAATCTTAAGTTGAGATATGTTGCCTGCACAGGATTTTGGCAAATTAGAACGAAAAGTATATTTAAAAGGAATGACAGTAAATAACTTTCTGATATTGATTATATATTGAATAATATTTTGGATGTATTTGGTTAAAATATATTTTTTTAACTAATTTATTTATTTAGAGACAGTTTTGGCCTCATTGCCCAAGATGGGGTACAGTGGCGCCATCTCAGCTCGCTGCAGCCTCTGCCTCCCGGGTTCAAGTGATTCTCCTGCCTCAGCCTCCCAAGTAGCTGGCATTACAGGTGCCCACCACCACACCCAGCTAATTGTTATGTTTTTAGTAGAGACAGGGTTTCACTATGTTGGTCAGGCTGGTCTTGAACTCCTGACCTCTAGTGATCCACCTGCCTTGGCCTCCCAATGTGCTGGAATTACAGACGTGAGCCCTGGCACCTGGCCTAGGTTAAAATATCTTATTAAAAATAACACCACCTGCTTCTTTTTTGTTTTTGTTTTTGTTTTCATCATGGTTAGTATAAGTTTGAAAAGTATACATGTGCCTGGTATTTGTGGCCACATGTTGGACTGTGCTGCTCTGAAAGATCCACAGTGCAGACCAAGTATATAATAAAAGCCCTGAGAAGTACTGGTGCAGGATTTGTCAGACCTGTTTGTTCACATATCCTTTGTCTGTTTTGTTTGGCTTAACAATTACTAACATTTCACAGAATAGTGAATGAGCTATGAAACAATCCCACGTGAAATGCTGATGAAGGGAAATCATGTAGTGACAATGTTTTCAGAGGGGAGGTTTTGCAGTTAGGGAGAAATGAGCATTTCTAATTGATTAAATATGTGGAACGAAAACCTCCCACATCTGATGCCTTGTAAAGAAAGAATGAACTTTATGTGCCTGACAAGGCTGAAGAGTCGAGAGATTCAGCATTCATTTTATGGACATATTTATGGCATTTATGAAGTTGCATGCCGTGCAGAGCACTCGAATCAGAATCCGGGGAACTTCTGATGTGTACACAAAGATTGTAGCTTTCCCATGTTTTAGCCTCCTTCGTATTGGCAGATGTTTTATATATAATATTGGAAGAAGAAATCGTTAATAGTGAAAAGTATGGACTTTAGAGTAAACAAACTCAAATTCAAATCCAGATTCTACCACTTATTAACAGTGGGATCCAAGCTTTCTAAGCCTCCATTTCACCAGAGATAAAAGTAATTTCCCTCCATAGAGTTGTTGGAAGGTTTATGCAAATCTATGCATGTAAAACACTTAACATAGAGCCTGGTGCTTCAACGAATGTTTGCTATTATTTTTATCTTGATAAATTGGGAGGGTCTTAGAAAGACGGTATCATAGTTCTGCTATACTGCTTTTTGTAAATGCTGCTTTGTGTGGGGTTTTCTTGTTGTTGCTGTTGTTGTTTTTTATATTTTAGAGTTGACGTCTTGCTCTGTGGCCCAAGATGGAGTGCAGTGGTGCAATTATACTCTGGAGCTCAAGCCATCCTCCCTCCTCAGCCTCCCAAAGTGCAGGGATTGCAGATGTGAGCCACTGCACCTGGCTGGTTCATTTAGTCTCTTGAGATCAACCTGAATATACCTAGCAAACTGGCTCCACTCCACCCATCTACCCATCCAGAAGGCAGTCTGACAAATATAACTAAATAAATAAGATTACTAACAATACTAAACCTTATTTCTTGTATCTGATGAATCAACTAAAGTGAAATTCCTCATAGCCCTCCTTCTCCCAGTCTAATTCCATTAGATTCAATTCCATTCAGCAGATATATTGAGGGGATTGAGGAGAAGCAAAGATAAATCATGTAGAGCCTCTGTTCAGAAATCAGAGTCTACTGGACTCCATCTCAAGGGACAAATTTTAAAGATAGTAGAAATATTAAGTGGCATGCTTTGCTGGGAATAAATCTGCTTAATACAAATGCTGAAGGGAGGAAAAGCTACTACAATCTAGGCTTAAACTTAGTAAGGGCTACAAGGGGTGTAATTGGACTGACTATGCAAGTTACAAATTTAATTTGTATCCAGTGGCTTTTCCATGAATAGGCCTTTTCGGTTGCACAAATTAAAAAGTTCAGGGTTATGTTTTACACCTTTCTCTTTTTCAACTTTCTGTATCTATTTATTCTCTTACAAATATCTATCTATTTATTTATTCTCCCTATGTATCTATTTATTCTCTTACAAATATCATGAATCTGCACCCTATTCTCCAACCACATTACTATAGCTTTATTCCTGGGCCCTTCTTCTGCGCCCAGAGTTTATGGAAATGCCTTGAAGATTGCAACCCTTTCTCAGTCTTCCCACTATAACTTTTCATCTCTCTAAAAGGCAAATCTCATTGTGTCACTTTATAAATTGTTTGAGTTTATCTGTCGTTCCATTACAGTGTGAATTCTTCATCAGAGTGAGCACTCATTCAGTCAGTGTCTAAGAGACCATGGGGGCGCAGTACATGTTGAAAAAATGATTTCAATTTAGATAATTGCCAGTGCAATGGGTGTTAGCACCTGTGATTCCAGCTACTCTGGAATCTGAGGTAGGAGAATCACTTGAGCCAGGAGTTCAAGACAAACCTGAACAATATAGCAAGACTGCCTTAAATTTTTTTTTTTAATTAGTTGTATGTGGTAGCATGTGTCTATAGCCCCAGCTACTCGAGTGGCCAAGGTGGGAAGACAGTTGAGCACAGGAGTTCAAGGTTGCAGTGAGCTGCGATCACACCATTGCACTCTAGCCCGAGTGACAGCAAGGCCTTGTCTCAAAAAATTTTAGGCAATTGGTATTTTCAAGAAGGTCTTTGTTTATTTATTTCTTGTTTTGAGACAGGGTCTTGCTCTGTTGCCCAGGTTGGAGTGCAGTGGCAAAATCACATTGCTCACATCTCACTGCAGCCTTGACCTCCCTGGCTTGAGTGATCCCCCCACCTCGGGCTCTTGAGTAGCTGGGATTATAGGTCCACACTTCCACACCCAGCTATTTTTTTATTTTTTGTAGATATGGGGTCTCTACATGTTGCCCAGGCTGGTCTCAAACTTCTGGGCTCAAGCGGTCCTGACCTCAGTCTCCCAGAGTGCTGAGATTACAGGCATGAGCTATCATACCTAGCTTCAAGAAGGACTGTGTAATGTACAGTCTTGCTCTTCATCACCCATAAAAAGGAGCAGCAAACAAATCCATTAAGATTAGTGTCATGTGCTTTACTCAAAATGACAACTGGTGAATCAAAGCATTAGACTTACCAGTCAATAGATCCTTGTTTAGATTTTCTCTGCTTATAGAAAGAATATACTGCAAGAAAAGTAGAGTAGATACAGTTTGTTTCTGGTGAATGGACAAATATAATTCTAAGTTACTTGCTCAGCAATAAAACGTATTTATTATTTAGCAAAGGGTTGCAAGCTTAGTTTTGTGATCATTTAGTTAAGTGACTTTTGCTTTTTTTATTTTTTATTTTTTTTAAAAAACACTTTACCCAAACACATATATACAATATCCAAGTTTACACTTAGACTTTTTCAAAGTTTAACACTTTAAAAGTCAAATCCTTCTCTTGCAACTAAAATATAATTTTCATCAAGAAAGTTTTGTTTTATAATAAAATATTTTCAGCTTAGGTCTCCAAATTTAGCTCTTAGAAAAACTTCAGTGATGACGGTATCACTAAAATCAAAGTGCCATTCCCCAAAGAGACAACTTTGAATGCCTTCATTTCAAGGTAAAAGGTGTGTGGGGGGGGTGGGGTTGTGGTAGGGATGAAGGTTGGTAGGAGTAGGACCAGTCTTCACATGGGACATGGGTTGGTTGTTTCTGACTTTATAGGACATTTCAACAAAGCTGACCCTTCTGTGAGGCAAGGGAGTCACAGTGCCTAAGGGCCTACAATGCTTTTTTTTTCTTTTTTTTTTTTTGAGACAGAGTCTTGCTCTGTTACTCAGGTTGGAGTGCATTGGTGAGATCTTGGCTCACTGAAACCTCCACCTCCCGGGTTCAAGAGATTCTCCTGCCTCGGCCTCCCAAGTAGCTGGGATTACAGGTGTCTGCCACCATGCCCAACTAATTTTTGTATTTTTTGTAGAGACAGGGTTTCGCCACGTTGGCCAGGCTGATCTCAAACTCTTGATCTCAGGATATCAGCCCACCTCGACCTCTCAAAGTGCTGGGATTACAGGTGTGAGCCACCACGCCCGGCCACTTCTTTTTTTCTGATTTAAAAATAAACTAAAATCAATTTGACATGTGTATATATGTGTGTGTGTGTATATACACTAATTTATAAACATAAATATATTAATTTATATGTAATATATACATATATGATAATTTATAAATTCTCACTTCATCCAAAAGTGGAAGTATGTATTAAGAGCCAAATCTGTACTTGGTGTCAGAGTAACTTGGTCAATGGCAATGACTAAAAAGGGGCTTCCTGTCTTTGTATAACTTAAAATGAACAGAAACATCTTCATTCTCTGCCTCAAAGCTAGGTTGTTAATAGATTGTATTTCAACAGAAATCAAGCTTGTTATTTCAAGTCTGTTAGGAAACATTCAAATTATAAAGGTTTTTTAATTTTAATTTTTTAAAAAATATCTGAGACAGGGTTTTGCTCTGTTGCCCAGGCTGGAGTGTAGTGGCGTGATCATGGCTTACTCCAACCTCAACCTCCCATGCTTAGGCGATCTTCCCACCTTAGTCTCCCAAGTAGCTGGCACTGCTGAGCTAATTTTTAACATTTTTTATAGATACAGTGTCTTGCCATGTTGCCCAGGCTGGTTTTCAACTCCTGGGCTCAAGTAATGCACCTGCCTCTGCCTCCCAAAGTGCTAGGATTGCAGGTATGAGCCACCGTGCTTGGCCCAAATTATGAAGATTAACTTGCATGGGGAAAATATTTTCTTTCCACATCATTCATCTGGGAACTAATAGACATGTCTATTCTGGTGCAGGAGCACCACAATGTCCCTTTCTAGTCTACTCCATATCTTTGGACAGTATTATATCACAACCAAAGGTTTGAGTCATTCCCATCAAGTCATACTTCTCCAATATTTATTCTAAAAGATTGGTCTGATGAAGAATAAATAAGAATAAGCAAGTCAAGAGCTATAAAGTGGCCTCTATCTTAACAAAAAAGATAATAGTAAGATCTAAGAAGGATTAGATATGTCCTTTGAAGATCTGTAGGACATTAGTTATACGTAGTACTGACTACCTCAGATATGTTAGAAAAACATGTTTATTTTCTCTATTCTCAATGCCTTCAAATGAAAATGTTTTCTAGAAAGGGGGAGCCATTTCTCTATTTTGAGCATAAGAGGTTAGGATTAAGAATTGGGGAGCTCTGATCTGTTCTGCGTATGAGGGAATATTTTGACAGTTTCCAGGGCAGTTTGGGGAGAAGATGGGAGGACCCAACAAGACAAGAAGAGTCTGGGCATCACATCGGAGAAAGTTCAGAAGGAAAAAACAGCTGAAGGAGGAGGCCAGGGAAGGGAGTCAGGAAGAATTTTGGAGGCCAACATTTGCAGATTAGACATGTCTAAATCGTTGCCCGTGCCGTGCACAAGGAGGTCTCTTCATGACCCGTATGGGTCTTCAGCAGACTCATGCATCTTTTGAGTGAGCATTGTCTGTGGGAATTTGTGGAGGAGATTTCAAATCCAGACCACCATGGTACAGGGCCAACACCAGGTGAGAAGGAGTGGGGTACCAGAGGCAAAGGAAGCCAAGAGAAGGTGGGCTCTCCCGGGATACGAAGAAATCCTGGAGTCCCAGGAATGGCTTTGTGCTTCCACAGGCTGTGGAACTGACCAGTTAAAGCAATTGTATGTCGTTTTTAAAGAGCAAGGAGGCCCCTGTATTTTACTGGGATATAGAAGTAACAATAAAGAAAAACTGAAGTATGAAGGGCACCTGTAAATTTAGCATTAACTCAGTTCTTAAGATATGAGAAGTAGCAGGAATGATGTGGGAGGGGCCATTTCCTCCTTGTAATGCATTGAAGGCCACAAAATGGGAACTCCCACCAACACTCTCTCTCTCTCTCTCTCTCTCTCTCTCTCTCTCTCTCTCTCTCTCTCTCTCTCTCTCTCTCTCTCTCTCTCTCTCTCTCTCTCTCTCTCTCTCTCTCTCTCTCTGTCTCTCACTCTCTCTCTCACACACACAGACACGGTGGTGAGAGTGACGGTGTCAGGCCCAAGTCTATCTCCTCATTTCGCTTTTCTGATATTTGAAGAGTATCTTATCTATGGATACATTACTGGTTCAGTCTCTGAGGCCGGGATGGCTCTGATGACTTGGGCTTCCTCAGTACATCCCTTGTTAATACAAGTGTACAGTGAGATGATTAAGTTGATTTTACTCTCAACTTAGTGAAAGAAGTAAATGCATCTGAGCAGTAGCCCCCAGGGCTCCTGTACCACGTGTAAGGGCCGTGCTCCTGTGACAAAATCTGCCTTACTCTTCCTCAATGTTACCCTCATGGAAGTCATGCAGCCTGTTTCCTCATCTGTAACCATGGTGGGTGGATTCGATGAATCACTGTAAGATTCTGTCACGCTAAAGTGTATTTACAAGTTTTCTCATCCAATACACACTTGGCACTTAAAAATGTACATTTCTCAGATATCTGATCTCATCCAATTTCCTTCCATAGATACATCCCCATTTGATTGGGACAACTATTTTGCTGCCAATTTAAGATTTAAACAAAATGTTGGTTTCCAATCTCACTTTCTCTGGGAAGTCTTCTCTGAAAACTAAAACTTTTCTCCATCTCTGAACCACTTTACATTTCCTTGTCTAAGCCATCACTCGACCAAGGCTTTTTCCCATGAATCTGATTACTGTCCATCCCTCCCAGGCTCTAAGTGCTTCTTTTATGCTGAGCAACTTGCTCAGGGCATGGCATGCAAGAGGGCAATTATTGGTTACTGGGGTGACACATTTAATATGGACGCTTATATTTGACTTCTTTATGTAAATCTTACTTGCCTGTTGAGGAGAGATGATTCTTTTGTCTTTCCTATAGCACCTAGCTCAATTGGGGGCTAATTTAAAGGACATGTTATCTGAAAATATTTATCTGAAAATGTTTTTTTATAATTATCTGAATAATTATCTGAAAATGTTTATCCCACTGGAGGTGACTCTGTGGTCTCTCTTCCCCCTACCAGGCTCATGTATTAAGACTCTGTACCTATGTTTTTATAAGGCCAAAATAAGCAGGTTACTATTTTTAAAAAGTCATTAAATAGAAAGTGTGAGCTTGCCCCGACTCCCAAAGCCCTGAATGGAAGGAATGTTTTACTTTCCGCCACACTGATCAGCCCAAGAGCCATGAAGATCTTGTTCCCATGAACATATGTGCTTTATCTCTTGCTACCCAAAGTGTGGTTCATGAACCAGCACCTGGGAGCTTGTTAGAAACACAGAACCTCTGCCTTCACCCCAGTCCTAATGAGTCAGACTGCATTCTCACAAGATTCCATGTGAGTTTGAGAAGCATAGGTCTACCTCCAATGGGAGCTCTGCTGAGGGTCAGAGACTTGGATATGAATCTCACTCAGCCTCTGCACTTAATAAAAGGAGTCATGGCTGGATAAAAATAAAGCAAGTTAGAGTTTTTCTCCTGTGGATGGGTGTCTGGTGCATTCATTCTGTCTCAAGAAACAGAATCAGAAGGTATAATTAGATAAAATACATATTTCTCCATGTTCTGTGTGTTACTATGTGAAAGATAAGGAAAGCACAAAGCAGGATAATGATTCTCCTTTGGTCAACTCTCCGTCTTCATCTGGCCTCTGTTGTTTTAGAAATCATGTAATACTGTAAGCATTTCTAGATCATTCTATACATTCTATTATAAGCCCAGTTTTGAGCAACAGGGTGAGTTAGGGAAGGGCAACAACATCATGAAACCCTCTAGATTGTTCTTGCACATTGTGCTTGACGACAGATACGGTAGTCATCGCTATCTAATTGAAAAGGAGAAAAGAGGGGAAGGGTGTCCTTGGTAGTGGGGCAGCACAAAGGCAAGAAACTGCACAACGAGAACAGTAACAGATAATTCTTCTTGAATGTTTATTCTTGGCTGGGCCTTCTTTTGAGCATCTCCTCTGAATAAACTTGCTAACTAGTATCTATTCCTGGGGTCTAGACTGAGCCAAGCAATGTCAGAGATAGGGCTGGAGAGGGAGGGGCCATCAGGCAAAAGGCAAGTTTCAGATGTTGACTTAGTTACCATCAATGCACAGACAATGATCTCCAGGGTAAACCTACCTGAGTCTTTGTCCCATAGGGAATTGCAGACGTTTTTCCTGAAAGAGAGTGAATCATTCTTGCTCTCATGATAATACCTTGGGATACAATCTGAAATGAAACCAGAAATACTGACTTCAATGACAGTAACATGGCATTATGCAAGAAAGATAGAAATTGATTTTTAAATGTAATTTCATATATTTTCAAAAACATTTTTTTAATGTGAAAACCATAGAAGCCCAACATGGTAGAAACTCCTTCAGTGAAAATGGTGATCCTGAAGCTTTTAGTTTTTGTTTTTAATCTTAGATCTTAGAACTGGCTTAAAATTTATCTGATCTAAATCCAATATCACAGATAGAGGAAAGTGATTCGGTGTTAGAGAGGTTAAGTGATTTTGTCATCATGACAAAAAGGGATATTATGAGTGAAACCCAGGGCTCCTAACATTCAGTGCAAAATGTTTTCTTACGCATGGCTGCTATGTGGGAGAAATTAATAAGAATGCAAATAGCACTCATTTACTTGTATTAACAGCTCAAAGACACATTGTCACTGAAAATAGTATCGAGAAAAATACATCTAACATGTTTGTTTATATTACCAAGCTACACGTAGACAGTGAGACGTTCTACAACATGAAGCTCATATGATGAAAATCTACCATAGGCCCACCATTGTTTAGCCAAACCCATGGGGCTTGATGGTTTCAGAACTGAGAATTTTTCAATTTTAGAAAGCAGTGTAGTACATATATGCTGGCTGTCTCCTAAAGCCACCCCATAATCAAACTTTATGCTAAATGAGATTTTAAAAAGACTATGAAGTATCTCCTGTCAGGTCAGATTTTGCTACTCAATGAGTGATGAGAAGCTTTCTATTTTCAGAGTTTTTTTTTTTTTTTGGAGTACAGAATTGTGGATAAGAGATTATGGGTCTGTGTGATTGAAAAAAGAAAAGGAATTTGGCTCCTGTTATCCTGGATGCCATCTCGACCGTCACTTTAAACAGGCAGTGATGCACCGTCCTGTTGAGAACCCAATATTAGAAGCAATCATTGGGTTGCAGGATCCCCCTCGGGTGCCTCGAGTGCCTCGAGTGTCCATATGTTTGCCCTCTTGCCAACAAGTTTTGAACTTTAAAAGCTTTAGTCGAATGAGTTTTCAGGCAGATTCTTGGCATTGAATGGTACTTTTCAAGCCAGGATGAAGTGAAATCCAAGCAATTGTTGAAAAATACTAGCTATTATCTTCTATTAAAAAAATACATTAAGTACCTGATCTTCCAGGCCGATGGCTTTCAAGGCTTGTTGTCCTCTATGAGAAAGGGCTAAGTTAATGCTTCTTCCACGTGTGAAGTTAGCCACTCGAATATCTGAGACATTGGAAGCAGAACTCCATGTTACACACACTTTATGTCCTAGTCCAGGATGAGCAAAATTACTGCGCCTGAACAATTTTTCATTCAGAACCAAATTAAAGACCTTTGTAACTGCTCTAAAGAAAATGCTAATAGCAGTACATTTATATTAAATTAAATTGAGATAGATTTTTTTATAAAAAATAGTTTTAAAAAATTGTTTTATTAAATAAACTGTTTTAGTTCAGAAAAATCTAAAGTAGGTCAAAGAATTAGAACTACATCCTGCAATCCTTCCTTCCTTCCTTCCTTCCTTCCTTCCCCCTCCCTCCCCCCTTTCTTCCTTTCTTTCCTTCTTTCTTTATTTCTCTCCCTCCCTCCATCCCTTCCTCCTTTCCTTTCTCTCTTTTTCTTTTGCTTTCTTTCTTTTCTTTCTCTCTCTCCTTCCTTTTTTTTTTTTTTTTTTTTTAAATAGAATCTCACTCTTTTACCCAGGCTGGAGTACAGTAGCATGATCTCAGCTCACTGCAACCTCTGCCTCCTGGGTTCAAGCAATTCTCCTACCTCAGCCCCTCCAGTAGCTGGGACTACAGGAGCACATTCACCACACCAGGATAATTTTTGTATTTTTTTGTAGAGACAGGATTTTGCCATGTTGCCCAGGCTGGTCTCAAACTCCTGGCCTCAAGCAATCCACCTGCCCTGGCCTCCCAAAATGCTAGTAGCCACCATGCCCAGCCTTCATCACACAATTTTCACCACGGATGTACCTTCCCTAGCTTCATATACGTCAATCTGGAAATTCCTTTTTGCAAGAAAGCATGCTTGTAATGAGCCAACCTAGAAATTAAAAAAAAATTAAATCTTTATCTGATTCCACAAATATAGGGAATTTTTAGCAGCAAAATGAAACGTGTGTGGCTACATTTTACTAGCTTCATTTGTCACATTGATTTAATCAATTTCTACTGAAAAGTATCAGTGGAAAAAATAGCAAAATTAATTCAGGATAAAGTAATATAATTTTAGAAGTAGTTTTTTTTTTTTTTTTACTTTTTTGTAGTGAGATAATTTTCAAACAGGAAGAACATAAAACGTATATATCTTACAAAATAATTAGAAAGCAATTCTTTATAACCTTATAACCCTTATAGCTACTACTCTGGTCAAAAATAGAACAATGTCATTCCCCGAAAACTCCCCTCACCTCACCTCCTCCCCAGTTACAGTCCTTTCACACATAGAGGTGAACACTATTCTGACTTTTGTGATAACCTATTCTTGCTTTTTTATAGTTTTATCACTTAGGTGTGCATATTTCTAAGCAATATACTTTAATTCTACTTGCTAAAAAGTTTTAAGATTTTGTAGAGATGGGGGTCTCATTATGTTGCCCAGGCTGGTCTCAAACTCCTGGGCTCAAGTGACCCTTTCACCTTGGCCTCTCAAAGTGCTAGATCTATAGGCATGAGCCACTGTGCCCAGCCATTTACCCATTTTTGAACCCTGTAGTTAGAATCACATTCTCTCTGTGTGTTTTTTGTCTGCTTGTCTTGCTTGTTTTTTCATCTTGCTTCTTTAAGACAGCATTATGGGATTCATTTGTATGATTACATGTAAACTTCAGGTCATTCATTTTTTAATACTGTATGATTCTTCATTAAATGAAAGGTCACAGATTATCCATCCTACTGTCAAAGGACATTAGAGTTGTTTCTGGTCTGGGAATATGTTAACAATGCTTCAAAGAAAACTTTTTGTGCAAGAATTCTGATTTTTTTAAAATTCCATTTCTAGACATGGAAGTGGAATATCTGGTCAAAAGTTTATATACCTTCACTTTTATGATACTAAACTGTTTAAAAATTTTGTACTAATGTGTTTTCCCACCAGCAGCTTCTGAGAATTCACCTTTGCCAGCCCTTGATGTTTTCAAACTTTTTATTATTGTGGAGTGAGAGGGTGGGAACTGGTAAGTCAAAGAGGAATATGGTTTTAATTTGCATATGCTTAATTACTAAAGAAGTTGAACACTGTTTTTGTTTTTTTGAGACAGAGTCTCAGTCTGTCACCCAAGCTGGAGTGCAGTGAGCACTTTTTCATAGGTTGATTGGCCATTAGGATCTCCTCCTTTTCCAAGTGTCTGTTTAGGTCTTTTGCTCATTTTCTATTGGGTTGTCTATCTTTTTCTTTTTTATTCAGAGTCTGAGTATAGAGTGTTTGTCATTTTTAAACATTAAAAATACCTTATTCCATTTTGTACCTTGTTTCTTAAATGGTATAGCCTATTTTGAGGATGAGAAGCTGTTCATTTTAATGTGGCCATATTCATCAATCTTTAATTTTATTATTCATGCAATTAGTAATTGTCATTTTGTTTTTAATGCAATCACAAATGTCTCCTTCAAGAGATCTTTGCCTATTCTGAGATCACAAAGAATTTTTTCTGGTTTATTGTCTTCTTAAAGCTTTATGCTGTTGCCCTCCCGGTAGCTTTATATAGGTTGTGGTAGTTTACTTCCTCTCCTCACTAGCAATTTGCATTTGGTAAAGCCATCTGTATATAATTATCAGAGCTGAATTTTCAACAGTGGTCCATACTGTTAACTAGACCTTCTGGAGGCATCAACCTTCTCTCATTTTCCGGTTTTCTTCATACATCTCTGGCCAGTCCCACTTTCCCTCTTTCACCATTGCAAAGACACACAAATATTGGAGTTTCTCAACTCTCTGTCCAAGTCTGTCTTCTCCATCCACGATGATGTGAAAATTTCTCTCTCCTGTCCAGATCTGTTTTTCGAGCTGATGCATACAAGTGTTTAAGTGATATAGCTTCTTGTATGTCTCAAAGCACCACAAAATCAACAGATCTGAATTCAAACTGATGATTGTCGCCTCCCATCTCATCAATTCTCTCCAAATGTTCCCTATGTAAGTGAATGATATGCCATCCATCCAACTGCTCAAACTAGAAAGCTAGGAGTCACCGTCTCTCCTTGATACTCCATTCCCAGTTCCGCCAATGCTACCTTACAATGTTTTTCCATCTACCCCTCTCTTTTCACTTCCACCTTTCTGCCTCTAGTTCTTGGAATCATTATGTTTAACTAATGTCAAATTTTCTGTATATTTTACCAGCATTCATCTTGCCTCTTTCCAGTTTATCAGTCATTTGAGGTGATGGTGTAATAGGTCATTTGAACTAATACCACTGCTGAGAGGAAAAGGAAACGCAGAGAGATGAACCTTGCACTTCTAGCCATGCCTACAGGCATCTACTGAATGCAAGGGAGGCTGAGGACTTCAGAAGAATTTTTGACAGACTCTTGAAGCTAGAAGTACAAAATTTGGAGCCTGGGACACTCCCACACCCCTTGCTTAGGAGGTAGTTCTGATAAACCCCTTAGGTTTTAGATCAGGACCCTAAATAGGTACATCTCAGGAGAAGGGCAAACTGGAAGGAAACCAACGGTCCAAGGGCCTGTCTGGAGATCATCTCTAGTCCTGACCAGATTGCGTTAATTTTTGATTGCTGGTAATCACAGCCACCCAAGAAAAACAAACAAATCCTCTCTAGAAAAAAAAAATGACATAACCACAGGCCTCAGATTTTCACCACATTTTAAAATATACAAATCTGATCATGTCACCTTCTGCCCCAGCCTTGCCTGCTTTCTTTTAGCCATTGTATTCACCATACTGTTCCTCAATGAGGGGTTTAACACGTATGGTATCCATGGCCAGAAATGCTATCTTTCCTCTTTACATAGTAAACTTTCATTCAGTCTCCAGGTCTCCACTCAGCTTCACTCCCTAAAAAAAGGCTTCCTGGGCTACCCTCCCTCAAATACCCCAATTATGAGTTCTTGCAGTGCTTTGAACCTTATCTTTGAGGTAAATTGCATCCTGCCAACTTTTTACGTTCAAGTCCTAACGCTCAGTACTGCAAAATGTGACCTTATTTGGAGATAGGCTCTTAATGCAGGTAATCAAGTTAAGATGATATAATTAGGGTAGGCCTTAGTCCAGTATGACGGATGTCTTTTTAAAAAGGGGAATCAGACATGCACTGAGGAAAGATGACGTGAAGAGACACAGAGAGAAGCCTTCCATCTACAAGCCATGGAGAGGGACCTGGAACAGATCTTTCCCTCACAGCTCTCAGAAGGAACCAACTCTGCCGACACCTTGATTTTGGACATTTAGCACCAGAACTGTGAGACAATACATTTCTGTTTCTTGAGCTACCGAGTTTGTGGTCATGTATTTTGGCAAGCCTAGCCAACTAACACAAAGGGCTTACAACAATGGAAAGTATATCTTTAGAGCAATTCAGTAATCAATATCTGTCTATCCTTCTAAGCTACCAACAGGTTTGCTCACTGTTTTATTCCTAGCATCTACCATTGCGTTTGTAACATAGTAAGTGCTTCATATATATTTTTGAGTGTATAAATAATGGTAGAGATTAAATTTTTAAGTAAGGTTTGTAACCAAGCAAAGCCAAAATTTATTGAGTGCCTACTAAATATAACTTAATCTGCTAAATTTTAGGGACTCAAAGGTTACCAAGATAAGTCCTTGTGCCCAATAAACACCCTATTTAGTAAAAAGAGACAAAAATTTGCAGACTCTTTTATATTCTTTAAATTTCTAACATGGATTGTTTAAAAATATGTAATAAATTTAATCACAAATCATCTACATATACTTTAAAAATAATTATATGTTTGAGTAATATAATTTTATCCTATTTACTCAAAGTTTTGTATGCATGTTATTTCACAGACCCCTTGCAAAATAGCCCTGGGATCACAGGTGAAAATCAATGTAAAAAACAAAAAGAAGAAATGAAGTCCTAGAAAAGACACATGAAAGAGATTAATTTTGCCTTCACAAATGTGGCAAATTGTATTTTTCAAAGATTGTCATGATATCCCTTATCCTACATACTCTTCTCCAGTGTGATCTTGACACTCCTTCATCAACACATGGGGTTTATTTCCATTATCTCTTAAATCTAAAAGGACCTGTAAGAGCTTTGACCAGAAAAAAAAAAGAGAGATGCAGTAGAAGTTACCCTTGAGCCATTTTTAAGCATAGTCCTTGACTGTCCAGAAGCTTCTGCTTCTTTCTTTCAGGAAGTCAATTATCACAAAAGACAACAGGGTCAGGAGAGTTGGAATGAAGCCACAGGAAGTTCATTTATTAGGATCATACAAAAGTAATTGCAGTTTTTACCATTAATCGCAATTACTTTTGCATAAACCTAATATAAATGAGTCTCTCTTACTGAGAAAACAGGTAGGGAGAAAGGAAAGTAGGACATTAAAGCTGCAATCTAAACAACAAGTCATCAGTGAAAATCTAATGTAGCGAAATGGCCTAAAAGGAGAGAAACTGGGATTTAGAAGCGAGAAATCCACTCATCCATCTCCTAAAACTTCAACCACAGTAAAGGAGCTACAATATATAATGCTACACACGAAGCTCTCAGTGACTGTGTTGGAATAGGAGGAGGGGCCCATGTCCTGGTTGTATTGGTTTGTTATGTTCCTTTTCTTTGACGAATATTGATTTCAGGATCTCAGAAGAGGGCTGACCAGGGTGGAGATTCTGCCTCAATCCTTCTAAGGTTGGCAGGTGCCAATACATACTTTTCCAACACTTATGTGTTTGCCAATTGAACATATATTAACGGTTTTTATGGAAGAAGAAGGCACCTCAGGTAGTGTGGGCACAATAAGATTAAATCTAACTTAGGCTCATGAAAATATTAAGTGCTAGAGAGGATGAGGCCAAATGGGATCTCTTACGCATTGCCTGTAAGTTTCTTGTCG